TATATATATTTCTTACTTCAAAACTACCCTTTTTTAAACAAAATTCCCACTTATCAAAACAACAAAATTCTACAATATCCCTGATCAGATCAAGGAATTGAATTATGAAAAAACCTAAATTCTGAAACCTTAGAAGTAAAATTAAGGTAGAAACCCCAAAATTGTCAAAGTTTGACCTAAATAAAACAGAAACCAAGCCTTACCTTTTGAACCAAAATTCTTGAAAATTCTGCAACCTTTTCCATGAATTGATGCCCAAGGAGAAAGCAACAGGAATTTAAATATAAAAAAAAAGAGCAATTTTGAGATTGGGAGAGAGAGAAGAAAAAAAAAAGTTCAAGGCATAAAGGAAGAAGATAGAGCAAGGGATCTCAGCATCTTTTTCCCAGCATTGCAAGCCATTACTCACCACACGAGAGAGAATAATTTTTCCTTCTTTTTTTTTTGTTTTCTTCTACCAAACCATAATTACAGAATCATTTTAAAAAAACAAACACCAATTTTAAAAATACAAAAATGGAATTTTATTCTCTCTCTTTGTGGCAGCTTGATTCCGGATGGGGCGGGGGCGGGAGGAAAAAAAAAGAAATGCAAATTTCCCGCAATCTAGAGAGCGAAATTCCGGCGAGATTTGGCTTCTCGCCGGTCGCTCACCGATGCGTTCTTTAGCAAGAGAAACACAGAGCCAAAGAAGAGAGAGAAAAAAATTAGATATTGGAAGGAGAGGGAGAGAGAGAAAGAGAAGTTGTTGTGTCGTGTTGCGTTGTTGTTAGTTGGCTTTGAAAAGAAAAAGAAACAAAATTGAAAAAAAAAAAAGACAAAACAGAAAAGAAATAGGCGCGGGGGGATTTTTCATTTTCTTTTTTTTTTTTCCTCTCTCTTGTGGATAATAATCAGACCCATTCCTTAAAACACGACCGCTTTTGATTCAAACATTTAAAAAAAAAATCGCCTTTTTTTCTATATGAGGAAATTTTGGTGGTAATAACGGCGTTACGGCTCGGTTCCTGACGGGAATGCGGAGCTTGAGCCGAATGCTTTAAAATTACGGACAATGAGGTTTTCGGATGAGCTGGCTTTAGTTTAATGAGGATTTTAATGCTCTTTTTTTAATAGAAGGGTTTATCGATTTAATGTGGCCTAAGTTTCTGGTATTCGTAAATATTGAGCTGGACCAATTGGGTTTCAATAAACTATATTTGGATGGATTTTTTCATTTTTTTAGTTGATTTGGGAAATATTTGTTTTATTTAATGATACTCTTAATTTTTAATTTGACAATGGAAATGCTAATGATAGTTAATTGAGCATTTTTCTCTAATAATGCATTTAATTAGTATGACTTATTGCATTCGATATTCATTGGTGATTGTTACAATTAATTATGAATTACTACTTTGTATTAAAACTTTGATTATGATTTATTGTGCACCCATATCATATGTGTTCAATAAACTAATAAATGTTAATACTTCAAGTTTTAAATAAATCATTGTTAATCCTAAGGTGTAAGTTTCTTTTTTTTTTTTTATCTTTTGAGAAAATGCTAAAAGGTAAGATTCCAATATCTTATTCTTGATATAAATGGGGGTTGTGAGTATTCATGGGTCAGGTAGCCAAACCTAGGCACGTTTTTTAATAATTTGTGATTGGATTATTGGAAAATTAATTTGTTTCTTATAGGATTTTTTAAAGTTTAATTTATTTTAGTGTATATAGTTTATACTTAAAAAAAAAAAGAAAACGATTCATCAAGATTCTTGCGACGGGTTATGTAATTAATCAGTAAAGGGTTAAGATCATTTGCCTTGAACTTCATCCGGGCAAGGGTTTGGGTGAATTTGGTATTGGTAGTTATGAAGATGATTAGACTGTTAGACAAAAATCGGTATATTTCTGAATTGCATGTTCTCCATTAATGCAAGAAATGCTGGAAATGAGTGTCGTGTACGATATGTCATCAGTATTTGTGAACTCTGTTTTTTTTTTTCTTTTGTAATTTAATGAAAAAAAAAAAGGGTGAGAGATGAGATCCTGACTCTCGTCTTGTCTACTCCAAGAATAATTACAAACTTCTGTAATCACATGTAGGAGAGCAAGCTAGGCAAATTTCCATTACACTGTACCAATTCCATGTGTTTGCGATTTAAGCCTATACCAATCCACATGCAACATTTACAGTTGACCTTTTTGATTTTTCTAATCCAAATACCAAAATCAAAAAATTGTACTAGGAAATGGCCTTATTATGCACTGGCGAGTAAGCAAAGAATCTTTTTAACAATTAAGTAACGAACAAGGACAATCCTTTGGAGTTTCACTCTCAAATTTGGAAGCACAAAACTTTTACTAAACGTTTAATTATAAATGCTATATACTTGGCGTGCAAAGCGTAGACCATCTCCATCTCATGAAGTCACTAAGTCGTAACTTGAAACTAAGATAATGCATTAGCAATATAAAACCGTAACTTGAAACTAAGATAATGTATTAGCAATATAAAATTAATGTTAAGTTAACTTAACCTTGATTGATAAGAAGTGATTAATGGACATAAAGCCCCGGTGGCTAATAGATGCTACAATCAATCAATTTAAACAAAAGCATAAAATGTTCTACTCTTAAATATATATATATATATTGCTTGAGTAATATTATTTTGTCTAACAATAAAAAAATTTTATTTTAAAAAATACCATTTCAAGATTTTTGCCTTATCAGGTGTGGTAATGATTTATTAATTTTATTATAATATCTCATTTTATGAATTAATTAGTTGATTTACTCATGAATTGGTATTTCCCATATTTGAAATAATTCAATAATTATACGGTATATCGGGGAGTACAGATATTTGGGATAAAATTGGCGACGTAAGTATAGTGATTTATTATTATTATTATTCACTAATATTTCTTGTCATGTGCATTACATACAAATACTTTGTTTTTAATATTGATAATGATATATAAATACAAATATTTTTAAATTATTCATGATTCAAATTTTGTAATATTAATCTATAACTTGTTCAATAATATTAGCATTATAAAAAACATTTTCAGTGAAAAATATTTATTATAATTATAATTCTTGTTCATAAATTTATTAGATAATTTAGACATAAGATTGGATTTTATCTTATTGAATAATCATGCCTACTTTTAATTTGAATTTCAATTCTTGTTTAATACTACTATGTATAATTATAAATACTATATATAATAATTACAAATTATTTAAAATGACGAGTGGCACTTTTGAAATGAGAAATTGAATAGAATTAAAAATCTTATTTACAAAAAAAGTGGATAAATCTTGCTAATATTTTTAATAATAAATATTTAAAATGGAAATTTATAATTAAGATTAAACTTTATCTAGTTTATCAATTGTGCCCACTTCTTAATTCGAATCATTCTATGATACTTCTACATACGATTATTTATATTATTTATATAATAATTAAATTTTATTTAATTGAGAAAATAACAATTTAAAAATATAATGAGTAATAAATTGCTAATGTTTTTAATAATCCTAAACCCAATCCTCAATCAAAAAATCCCCCTTCCCCTCCCCCTCTCTCCATTGATCTCCCTTTCCTCCCCTCTTTCTGCAAATCATCTTTCGAGGATTTTTTTGTTCTTACAAAAATTTAAAAAAAAAAAGAAGATCTAAAATTCAAAATCACATTTAGATATTTTTTTTATTTTTCTTCCTGTTTTGTTTTTTTATTTTATTTGCTATCATTCTTTTTTGTCTTTGAAAACTCTTATTATTGTTTGATATTTCTCAATTTATTGTTTAATATGATAATTATGCGATGTTTATTTATTTATAACTTTTTTATGTATATAATATTTGTTGAATATAATTGAAATAACTAGTCAAATAGGTCAATGGCTGTTAAAATAAATTATATGAAAATTAAAAAGTTAATATTTATACTCATTTATTGAAACTCAATTTTGAAGAATTTTTTCTTATAGGTATAACAATAGATGATATGGGGAAATTTTGTTAATGAGGACATCAAGACTTTGAAATGAGTTGTCAAATTAATAGCTAAACATGATTTTCCTTACTAGTGATACTAATGTTGGGTTTCTTTTCTTCCTTAATATCAGTTTTGTTCAACTTCAAAGATCATAAATTTTAGATCAATTTTTAAAAAATAACAACAAATTTTTTTATATTCTTCTTTTACCCTTTAACAATTCATAATATTATAGAGAAAATTACATATTTTTTACACTAATCTTTTTTATTTTATTTATTTTTTCTCTTGATTTATTAAATACAAAATTAAAGTTTATATAAGTTGTTTTGTCAAACATCTCATCTATAAAAATCAAACTTATAAAAAGTAAAATTATCAAACAGTTTTAACTTAATTTTAAAAATTATTATTTTTCATGAAAATTTTATAGTAGCTTTCAAGTTAAAAAAAGAAAAATCAGACCAAACATACTCTTAAAATTAAGGAAAAAGCTTTTGATCTTGGACTTTATCTCATATAGTAATTGTATCTACTTCATAATTTGAATTTCAATCATTGTCTAACTATTACATACAATTATAACTATATCATTTAAATAATTTTTTAAATTTTATTTAAAATTAAAATCATAATTTAAAAATATATATTTTCGACAATTAAAATTTGTTCCAACATTCATACTTCTCTCTCTCTCTCTCTCTCTCTCTCTATATATATATATATATATATATATATATATGCACACATAAATATACATCTTCTTCAAGTTTAGTCCTAATAATTAATGCACAACTATATATGAATGTAGCTTGTAAACAATATTAGCTATTTAGAAAAGGAAATATCGTATGCGCTTTCCATTGAAATTATTGTTATCCCCAATGTATAAATGTCAAAAGAGGAACCAACGATATAGTTGGCTGCAAGGCTACTTCACCTACCATGTTTTAGGAGGTGACTTTCGAGTTTTTAAGTTATCTGTTGTGATTTGAATTTTACTACTAATGCTCTTATTCTTCATCATACAGAAAATGAAATGAAAAAAATAATTAATGAAAAAAAGGTACTAATAAATAATCATTAAAGATTTTACCTGTTTGATTCAACCTTGGTGGATATTCACATAGCAAAACTTGTATTTTATAAATGACTCTAATAAATAGAAAGATGTGGTGGTAGTGTGATAGTTTTATTCATTTTTTTAATTTTTTCATTTTATATAAGAAAATTGAGTCCCTATATGTTTATTATAAACAAAACAAATTTTATCCCTGTTTTGCATTTAAAAAGGTTCTATTATTTTATTATATCTTCATAAACCCTTAATTCGTAATAAAAAATTAATAATCATCCAGCTTAGTGTCAATTAGTAATTTTTTTTATCTATGTGATGTATTATATGATCATATTATCAAACCACTGTCAAATATCACATGAATAAAAAATGTCAATTGATATTGAACTTAACAAATGCTGATTTTTTGTACAAAATAAAGATTTTATGTAAATATAATAAAAGAGTAATAATATTTTTTAGTAAAATAAGATGATAAGAACTTTTTTCAGTAGAATGAAATTATGGAATTCAGTTGCATAATCTGATATAATCAAAACTATTTTTTGTCATTTAAGCCTTTTATTATTCTAATTTATGGAGCAAAATTTTTTGTTTTCATGTTAAATCTTTTTACTTTCCTGTCAAGCATGGTGGACAAATGGAGGTAATATGACTAGCAAGATCGGTAGGTAAATAATGTTAGTAGTCTACCAATTTTTCTTTAAGC